AACACTATAACTCTTACGATCATACAGTAATGTAATAAGGCTTATTTAAAAGAAAAAAGAAACCAATAATGCCACACTGGAATTGAAGTACGAAACTCGGCTTTAAGTTGCATGCGTATTGTTCATCAGTGGAACCTTCTAATGCTGGCTTTGTGTTCCACTGTTTTTGTGTAGTTCTTTTGACAGCAAATTTGTTTATCAGCAAAGAGGACTTGGACCAATTGAACAGAACACAATTCTTGTCCTGGATCCAAGTAGTGCAAAACTGCTTCGTTCCACAGGCAAAAGTCTGTAAGTTATTTTTTTCCTTTTATCAATAGAACTAGCATTTCTGTATACTTGACTCCAGAAAGTCCCCAAACCCATTTTCACATGTTTTATATTGTATTGTGTGATTGTAGCCTTTGAGCTTATTTAAAATAATAATTACAAAATCAACAACTAATAAAGGTAATTTTTCATCTTTACCACCTCTGCTTTCTGGCAATTCATACAATTTCATCTGCTAGCCATATTAACAGAAATGCAAAGATCATGAGTGTTGTATATTGCCCTTCAAGATACCAAATACTGGCCTGAGTGAGATACCAGAGATCAGCTGAATTTCGGAGCTGAGATACTCGTGTCAAAAGAATTCTGGTCTCTAAAGCTATCTCTTACATTAAGTACTACAGGTAGTTAGTATGTACGGCATTTGTTGTTCTGCAGCTCTTCCTGAAAGATGTCTTTAACTTGATTCTTCTGCATTTTTGCGTGCAGGTTTTACTTACCACATGGTTTGAGTATAGATAAAAACGGTAACTACTGGGTCACAGATGTAGCTCTCCATCAGGTATGTTTTTGAAGCCTTAATAGCAGGACCTTAATATTTTGCAGAAAACATGGTTGTCTTTTGTGGGTTGGTTTTTTGTGGTTTTTTTTTTTTTCCCCTAGAGATTTGACATGCATTATTCATCTAGGCCTGTTACGATAAGCATTAAGCATATGCCTACAGAAATTGACCCCTGTGGCCTTCGTGGAATATAACTGTGTTAAACAATTCGCTACGTAGACATAGTATTCAGAAATAAAAGTATCTGGTTTAGAACACCGATTCTTTTGGAAAAGAACAGATGCTTCTGCTACCTCTTTGTTTATCAATTCTCCTGTGTACTTAAATCCGGAATGTGAAACTAATTTGTTTGCTGTAATCACAGGAAGTTTATATTTTACGCAGAAATTTCCTAGAAGCAACACTACTGAAAAACTGGTAATAGACGTCATAGCCAATATACTAAGATTATGTTTGGTATACAGATTCACTTTGTACACAGTAACAGGTATTTTTCCGTAGGCAGTCATCCCTCTTACATGTGAGCCCCCGTAACTGAAACCT